AGCTCCCCTGGACCTGTGCAAGCCCCCTGTGCAAACACCTCAACTGTGACAGGGAGGGGAATGAGAGATCCCTGCAGGGCACATCCTCTGCTCCGTTTCCCTGATGGAGCTGGGTCGTGCAGGATGAGCCAGTGCCACACCTGCAGCTTTAACACATTTCTTTAGCTTTGCTGTTATCAGGCCACTGCTGTTATCAGGTCATCAGACCATATGGACAGCCCTCATCCTGCATCCCACCACCTTTTCAGGCTGGTGTCTTGGGTCCTGCCTGCATCTGGGGATTTTGCTGAGATGCAAGCCCTGCCCCTGTGCTGGCAGGGTATGCTCATCCTTGGCTGCAGTGCTGTCCCCTGCTCTCCATGGGAAATGAGGCAAGAAACCTTCAACACCAGGTCAGGAGATCTCTGCTGTGACCTGCTGACTCAAATCTTTTTTGATAAGAAACATACCTAGGAAATGATTTTTCTCTCTTAAAGCACAGGGCTGAAGTCCTGCCTTGTAGGCACCTACTTCTCTCCCTGAAGAGAGGGAGCCCAGTATCTGTAGGCATCTGAAGTTGCACCAGCTGAGTCACAGCCCTGTGGTTTCTGCACCACTCTCAGGCTGAGTTTCTCACAGCTGATTCTGCTCCAGCCCATAATCTGCATTTCTCCAGGTCATGAACAACCTCTCAGCCATTTAATTCCTCTGTGCATCAAGGGCTCCTCAGCAAGCTCCAACAGCCACATCCAGCACCAGCCAACACAACTCTGATGTTCAAGGCTTCCTCATAAAGAGCAAGGGGTTTAAAAACCCATCTCCATTGATTCTGCCTTCCTCTTGAATAATTTTAAAGCCATGGGAGTTTATCTTACATCCCAGGCTCATCTATATTAGGAGCTTTGGTGGGATTTTTAGCAGTGGTCAAGTTCACTGTTTTTTTCTCTTTATAAAGTAGAAGTTATCTCTTGTCTCAGTTGAGGAAGGGGAAGTTGGAGATGACAGAGCATTCCTGTTCCTGAGAGGGCCCCATCCTGAGTGTGGACATGGTGGAGCATGTGTCAGTCAGACATCCCTGCCTCAGCTCCTTTTTTAGATCCAGCCTGTAGCAGCTTCAAGATCTGCAGATAAGAGCGAGGTAAAATTCCTGCACATGCACAGCAAAACACTGGAGTGGCATCATGAGAAACCCCACAAAGCATCAAAGTTCTGCATTGGAATCTGCCAACCTGCATTTTCCACCTTAAAATACTTGCCCAAATTTGAGTAGGACAAGAAATGGAACTCAGGTGAGCTGGGCTTGCAGTCTTGTTTGTTAACCAATTTTGTCTTACCTCCTTGAAGTATTAAAACTAAGTAGAACATCCCAAGTTAAAGTTCTTTTCTTAGGAAAATTGTGATGTACTATTGGTAAGACTTTATTTCTGAATGATACTTATGAGACCTGCACAAAACTCATTTCCTGGTGTCTTAAAGGCAGAGCTGGCAGGGCAGAAGGCCTTGGGTTTCAGACTGGGTGTGCATGAGACAGCTGAGGTTTCTCTGTTACCTGGAACACAGGGAAACAGTTGGAAAGTCAGAGAGCCATGTCCCTGTGCCTGCTGCACAGAGCCACAGCTGTGGTGGTGAACTCAGCAGGATTGATAATACTTTGCATTTGAATGTGCCTAAGGATTTCAAAAGGGCACAACATCCATTTAGCCCCCAACCTGCAAGTTTTCTCACAGCATCATTATTAACTTTGCAGAAGATACAACACAAACTTTAGCAGGAACAATAATTTCTGCTTTGGCAGTGCCACCTCCTCATCCTCCCTTCTCAATCCCCAAGAGCCCAGCAATCTTAGCTCAGAAGGGAATGTGACTCAGGCCTTCAACTGAAGGGCTGTCACTTGCAAACCCTCAAGGCTGGATGTGGCCCTGGTTTTATCACTGGCCACCAGCTGCCTCTACAGCTCTTGCCTCCTCCCCAATGATTCAGCAAATCTTCTTTGAGGAGAAAAACAAGCACACAAGTGAACAAATCACAATGTCAGATTACAAAGATGAGCGGGGAAAAGCTGCGGCTCGAAGGAGGGAGATAAAAGTTGGTGAAGTTACACGAGCCAAGGATGAAAATGCCCAATAAAAACAAGGGTTTTTTTGAAGGGAAGCAGTAATAACATGAAAAAAATGTTGTAGTTTGGATACTTAATGCTGTGGAACATTGCTAAGAGTAAGGGAACACAATGTGGAAGGAAATGAAGCATATTCTACCCTCTACTATCTGGGCATTGCACAGGGCTGATAGGGATTTGTGCTGGTATAGATGAGAACTTAACAGTCCATTCTGGTTTACACTGGAAAAGAGTTCCCCTAAGAAAGCTATTTTCAGGAGGATTTTCTCTCTCTGTCACCAAGACTTCCAATAATCTGGAAGCCCCTTGCCAGGCACTTTGAATGTCACTATTCCTGGAAAAAAGGATACAAGTCATTAGCAGAGGGCAGTTGGAAGTAATGTTTTAACTGCTGACAGCTTTGACCACTGCATCATATTTTTATATCATTTTTATATCCATACATGTATGGTTTCCTTCTTGAGGTGAAACACAGGATCAGTGTAACAGCTCTATAGAATAAAGAGTAAAAAAAGTCAAAAAGAAACTCCAGCCAGACCTCGGCTAGGAGATGTAATATTTCCTCTAAAGGCATTCCACTCTACTCAAAGCCCAGACTTCCAAGAATGCCACGAAATCTTAGGGAAAATAAATGTTTGGAATTTATAGAGAGCTCATGCCACATCTGGGGAATCTCTCAGGCCAGTGAGTCCTCCAGGCTCTGTGAGAGAGATACAGCGTGGAATTAATGTAACACAAAAAGCGAGCACAGAAGGAAGGGGAGCTCAGGAACTGTGGACACATATGGGATGGATAAACTGTTCCCAGAGGCTTTTGGGGTACAGACTTGCACTGCTGCTCTTCCCCAGGAAATAAAAAAAGAAGAAACCATGGCACAGCCCAGAGGCTCTCCCCTCGAGCTCACCCGGGACATTGTTGCTGTGTAAGTCACGCAAGGAGTGCCAGGGGTGGCTCCTTTTAAAGCATTTCCCTGTGCTGTGCTGCCACCTGCTCTCACAGCTCTGGGAGTCCCCCCTCGGCTCTCACAATACTCAGGTGAGCTCTAGAACTGCAGTGTCAGCCCACCTGAAAAGGGGAGACCTTACCACCAAGTTCAAATGTTTAAAGTGGGGCTTCAGAGGAGATGGAGACTCCTTTTAGGAGGTGTCACATGTTAAAAATGAGGGATAATGTGTACGAGTCACTCCTGGGGAGATACAATTGAGTACTAGAGGACAAATTTTCATAGTGAGAGCAGTCATTGGAATTACCTCCCCAGGGAATTGGTAGATTCCCCAACACTGGACACTTCTCAGATCAGCTGGGCTGTGTTAACTAGACGGGGCTTTGCCAAGGGAGGTTGGATCAGGTGCTCCTGGAGATCCCTTCCAAGCTGGTGTTCTTTGTTTCCATTAAAATGCGCTTCTGCTGCACCCTACAGGCTGAAAACAGTTCTTTTATCATTAATCACAACTTCTAAGCCAGGCTTATGGTTTTGTGGGTGGAGGCTGGCTCCTGGGTATTTGGGGGTTGAACTGTTTCTGCTCCATGCCAGAGCTCTCACAGAAGGAACACACACAGTTCCCACAGTTCCCACCTTGCTGGGATGGGCAGGAGGAAGAGCAGCAGCTGTAACACAGACATACAGACACACAGACACACAGACACACAGACACACAGACGTGCCACCACCCCTGACTCAAAGACCCCACAGAGGTGGGGGACACAGGGCTCAGCTGTGCCAGAGATGTTCCACATGCTGGATCCCCTTGGGAAAGGGAGAGCTCAGGAACAGGGGGGAGATGGCTGGAGACCTCCAGCTGCTGAAGCTGCTGCCTTGTTCTGCTTTATCCCTTTAGGGAACAACAGAGGAAGCACAGGGGAAAACTGCCTGGCAGTGCCACTCCAGCAAAAGTCCACTTGAGGTGAGGGGACCTGGGGATGTGGTGAAGGGCACTTCCCCCCCCCAGCACACCCCACACATCCTGGGATGCAGTAAACTGGTTTTCTGCCAGAAATCGATGTCCTGTGTTCTGTGCACACCTGACCCTGATTTGCTTTGCCAGAAGGACAATCTGGGAGATCTCCCACAAGAAACATCTTTTATTTTCTCACTGTTGACCTTCATCTGCACTCTTTAAAGAAAAAAAAAATTCAATGGCTTTCTCCTCTTGCATTGCCCCTTGATGCAGAAGTTGGGCCAAAGCTATAGGGTCACTCATCTGAGTCCCTTCTCTTCTGGAATCTGGAGCACAAACTTCATTTTCACATGTTCTAGTGACAGCCCCCATGTCTCTGTGAGCTACAGGCAGAGTGCAAACCTGGTCCCTTCCCTGTTTCTTAGAGAGGGATATAACAATTCCCTGTTTTGGGGTGAGAGCCTGATTTCCCTCAGCAGGACCTGTCACCCACACAATGCCATCTTTGTCATGAAGAAATCTCAAACAAACCACTGGATGCTGCTGTCCAGACCTGGAAAAAAGTGTTCACCACTGCTATGGGTAAATGGGTGTCTACATTTTCATAATAACTGGCTAATGAGGAAGCTCCAAAAGCTCCCAAGAGAGAGGCAAGCATGTAAATGAGCTGCTAATACACCAGAGAGGAAAAATAACAGAGAAGTTGCATTGCCAAATCTCTCTGAGTGTGGGAAGTATAGTCTGATCAGGTAAGTGGCCATGTAGAAAATCAAAAATATACCTGAGGAGATTGGCCTCCAGCCCAGACAAGCAGCAGCTGCAGGGCTCTCACAGGGCCATGCCCCTCAGCCAGGGACTGGCCTCAGGCTACGGAAGGACAAGGCTGTGGAGGCTGCCCTGCTTCAGCCCAGAGCCAATCCTGGCCCATGGCATTGGCACACACACCTGCACTGGTGGCTTTATAAACAGTGTCCAGCTGGGACTTTCCCCTCAGGGCTGCTCTCACCATGGCTCGCTGGCACATCCTGGCCTTGGCCCTGTGCTCCTACCTCGGGGTAGCCTGGGCTGCCACAGTAAGTACAAAGCTGGCTTTGCACCCTCAAGCTGGAGGTTTTCTGCTCCTGCCATTTGTCTTTGGGCCTGTGGGGGAATTGCTGCTGCCTCTCTGCTCCCAAGGGCACCTGCAGGACACCTGCACAGGCACAGCTCCAGTGGCACCTGGGGGCTTTCCACCAAGGGCACGGATGGGGAGGGTGGGATGGGAATGGGTGGCAGTGTGGGAAGCCAGAGTTATGAAGGGCAGAGCAATGGATTTTCTCTTCTCCTTGGTACCTCCTGTAGCTGGGTGTGGTGCACACTGAGGGAGGATTTGTGCAAGGAGAGAGCAAGAAACTGGGACTCTTTGGGGGCTACGTTGACATCTTCAGAGGGATCCCCTTTGCTGCCCCTCCAAAGACTCTGGAAGACCCCCAACCTCATCCTGGCTGGGATGGTAAGGTCCAACTTCTGAATGCCTTTGGTTTGGGGCTTTATTCTTGCTTCTCTTTCTTTTAGTTGTTTTTTCTCAAACTAAAGATGTTCTTGCCTGCTTTCATCAACTAAGCATGGCCAAGAAAAATCTCTTTGTCTCCTGAAAGGTCAGAGAGTCTGTGTCTAAATGTTCCCAAGAAACTCAAATAACCCCGGGAAGTAACAAAACTCAGGCATGGCACCTGCACCCGTCTTCCCTATGCCTTGGCTGTCCAAAGCTGGTTCAAAAGGGAAAGTCTCCCAGTTTGTCACTCCCTCATACCAGGCACAGTGGCTGGCAAGGCTTTGCTGCCACTTGCACTGGACTCACAGAGGAAAGGATAGGTGAGCAGACAACTTCCAACCAGAAAATGGAGCTGATGCCCTTAACTGGTCATCCCTCTTTTCATTCAGGAACTCTGAAGGCAAAGGAATTCAAAAAACGCTGCATGCAGTTGAAGCTGACACAGACTGATGTCCGTGGGAGTGAGGACTGTCTCTACCTGAACATCTGGGTCCCTCAAGGGAGAAAACAGGGTATGAGGCTCGAAGGGACCTGGGATGGGCTTTCCCACCTGCCTTGTGTGCACAGATTGTGCTGCAGCCTCTCTCAGCAGTTCTGTTCCATANTCTACCCCCGCTGGGTTGGGGCAGACCATGCTGATGACCTGCAGTACGTGTTTGGGAAGCCCTTTGCCACCCCTCTGGGCTACTGGCCCAAGCACAGGACTCTCTCAAAGGCCATGATTGCTTACTGGACCAACTTTGCCAGGAGTGGGTGAGTGATTCCCATTCCACATTTGGGGCTTGATGCAGCCCTTCAGGCTGCTGGTTTTGTCCAGGAAGTTTTCAGGTTCATTCACAAAATCAGAGTGTTCCGTGTCTGTATTTCTTATTCCTGAATCCTGATGTTGGTACAGAGGTTAAGTCCCTTTGTGAACCTGGGATGATACCAGTGGGGATGGAGGGAAGAGACTGTAGGTAGTGCACTCATTCCTGGCAGATAGAATTCCTATGGCTTTTCTCACTGTCAGATTCTCTCCTTTCCTTTCACTTAAAGCCTGACTTGAGCAGACAGTGTTCCTGCCAAAAACTTCAAAACTGATCCTCTCTGTTTTCTTTTTCCCCAGTGATCCCAACGTTGGCCATTCGGACGTGCCTGTTTCCTGGCCAGCCTACACCGACAAGAGCAAGTACTACCTGGATATCAACCACAAGATGACCAAGGACTCTGTGAAGCAGAACCTGAGGTCCCGCTTTGTGACCTTCTGGAACTCGGTCTATTTGAAGCTGCCGCAGGTTGCTGACATCTCCCAGTCGGAGTTAATGTTGTGAGGCTAAGAAAGAAACACCTTTTAGATATCATTAAAGGATTGCTTGTAGCTGAGTGTCTCCGTTTCTCTGGTTTTTGCGTCTCTGTGTTGGCTGTGACAGTTTTCTTGCTAATGTCAAGGTCAGGCAGGATGGAACATCCTGAGGGCAGCGCGTGTTCCCTGGCTGTGACTGTCAGTCCTGGCCAAGCTGTCCTTGCGGCAAATTACATTCTCACCCTCACCTTCATACCCTTCATCTGCCACCTTTTGTGGCTTTAAACAATGCTGAGATGAAAGCTGAAGTTCTTAGGGAGCAAAACCTCATTTCAGTGAGAATTAACACCACACTCCTTGCACGATCAGAGAAATGTAGGTGTACGTGCGAGCATTTGCTCAGCTCAGAATTGTACAGGCAGCACAGGGACAAAACAACCCACGGGGGAGGTTATTCTGTATTTGTTTACGGTCACAAGCCGGGCTGAGGAGCCCCAGCAGGACAGGACGAGCCCAGCCCGNGGTGTCCTGAGGAGTTCATTCCCAAACCCCTCTTGTTTCCATTTTGCCCCCCAGACGCTGTCCCCAAAGAACAAGGGCCTGTTCAAGAGAGCCATCAGCCAGAGCGGTGTCGGGGTCTGCAGCTGGGCCATCCAGAGGGATCCGCTCGTCTGGGCCAAAAAGGTAACGTGCAAGTCGTGCTTGAAGGACTATAGAAACCAAAAAAGTTTTTCCCTAGAGGAGAGCATGGCTAGGAAGCAATTGGGCAGGAGCTGTGCCCAACAGCGCTGATGAACTTTGCTGCTTTGAGATTAAAACCCCAGCTCTGCCTCTGAAAAAATAACCCCTGCCTTTGGGAGCTAACACTGGGATGTTTCTCTCTCTCTTCTGCCACAGCTTGGAGAAAAGGTGGGCTGCTCCACAGACAACACCACCGTCTTGGCCAACTGCCTGCGCCACTCTAATCCCAAGGACTTGACCCTGGCCTACCACATGCAGTTCACTCACCTGCCCAGTAAGTCCCCCAGCCCATGATGTGGTCCATCAGCCACCATGGGGTCCCCAAGTTCTTGGCAGGACTCAGGAGCAACTGCCAGGAGTGTTGAGGTGTTGCTTGTGCCCTTCAGAAAAGGGACATTAATGAGAGTCTTGCAGTCCCCTTTCTGTGGGCAGATGCACATTGCACCAGATGAACACTGCCCACCATGCAATGGCAGCAGTGGCTGGATTATCCAATCGCCCTGCCTTGGCCTCAGAGACACTGTTTGGGCTTCCTGTTCTATGAAAACAGCAAGAGCAATCCCCAAAAACAGCTTGTAAACAAACAAAAAAGATCCTACCCCTGCTATTTCTATTTGAGTCGCTGGGTGGAGTGCAGGAACGCTGCTGCTTTTGTGCTAGGGGGATTCCTTTCCCAAGAAGATTCTCCTGGAGCTTCTGGTCACAAACCACAGCGTTTAGCCTTGGTCAGAACAGAGAGTGGCCAGAACACTGCAACAGTGCTTTGCAACTGCACACTCTGGGGCTGGCTGTCCTGACAATCAGACAACATGGCCAGGTGGGATGAGAAGTTCAGTTCTTTCCTATCTTTAGCTGGGTTTTTCAGAAAGGGTTTGAAGGAGGAGAGGATTTGTGGATGTTAGCAGGTGGTATTTGGCTGGCAGACCTCTTGCTCTTCTCCTTCAGCCATAGTCATGAGGTTTACCCTGCATCTGGGTGACTTCCTGCCCATGCTGAAGTCACTGCTCAAGCTGTCATTCACCTCACCTTGTTCTTTCCTGAGCTCTTTGAGTCATGAGATATGCCAGAACAGAAATCTGTGTTTGCTCACCTCCTTACAGACCCCATTCTTGTCTCCTGCAGTGCCCTTTGCGCTCACCCTTGCCTTCTCCCCAGTTGTGGATGGGGATTTCCTCCCAGACGTGCCAGAGAAGCTCTTTGCCAACGCTGCTGACATCGATTACTTGGCTGGGGTCAACAACATGGACGGGCACATCTTTGCTGGTGTGGATGTACCCGCCATCAACCGCCCGCTGGTGAAGGTCACTGCGTGAGTGACAGAGCCCTTAGAACCCTCAGCAGGAGACATCTGCTCTTCAGAGTAGCTCCCAAACCCCAAGGAGTCAGACTTGAGTGGACAGGGCACAGCCTTCCACACAGGATGTCGCTCCAAGCCTGGGTGCCCGGGCCTTTTGTTGCCGAGTCCAGAGCCTTCAAGAGAAAGGACCAGGCAAGAGCCCTGCCCTGTCTGAAGCTGCTGCTCAGTAATTAATTCATATCATTTGTCTTTTCAGTGACCAGGTGTACAATTTGATCAAAGGCCTCACCGTGGACAGGGGTGAGGCTGGAGCCAACGCCACCTACAACATCTACACACAGAGCTGGGGTGACAAACCCGAGCAGGAGGTCGTGAAGAAGACAGTGGTGGACCTGACCACTGACTACATCTTCCTGATTCCCACACAGGTGGCACTGGACCTGCACCTGCAGAATGCCAAGTGAGCAGCTCAGCCCTGGGGGTGTTGCACATGGGTCAGGGTGAGAGTGAGAATTGGAAATGGAAGTCAAAAATGGCCTCAGGATGTTTTCTCCTGAAACCACCCCATGTGAGGTGATGCATGTGAGCATCTTCCAAGGCTGAATCTGTGGCCCTGACGGTGTTTGGTGTGTTGGTTGGGATTTGCAGCCCTTTTTCTGCTTTCTCCTTGCTCAGCCAGTCTCTTTGATTTCCCAGGAGTGGCAAGACCTACAGCTACGTGTTCTCTGAGCCGTCCCGCATGCCCGTCTACCCCCGCTGGGTTGGGGCAGACCATGCTGATGACCTGCAGTACGTGTTTGGGAAGCCCTTTGCCACCCCTCTGGGCTACTGGCCCAAGCACAGGACTCTCTCAAAGGCCATGATTGCTTACTGGACCAACTTTGCTAGAACTGGGTGAGTGATCTGTGGTTTGATGCAGCATTTCAGGCTACTGGTTTTGCCCAGGAAGTTTTCAGGATCATTCCCAGAAGTTCTCTTTATTTGTGTTGTGAGCAGGGCTCTGTGTCTCACAGGACTGGAGTTTGGTCTGCATTCTCCTCCTCCATAGCACATGTGGGGAAGACAGAGGCATTTTCATTACTTATGATCTCTGCTTCCACTCGATGAGGTTTACTCCTCAATCCTTGTGTTCAGGCAGGACATAAGTCCCTGTGTGAAGCTGGGATTATGCCAGTGGGGATGGAGGGAGAAGGCTGCAGGTTATCAACTCACTCCTGGCAGGCACAATTCCTAGTGCTTGTGCCAGTGTCAAACACTCTGCATGGTCACACATTTAACTGCATCCCTAAGCTGCCCTGATAAAACTGAGCTTCTGTGTCTCCTTTTTCCCCCAGTGATCCCAACAAAGGGCATTCAGATGTGCCTGTTTCCTGGCCAGCCTACACCAACGATGGCAAGCACTACCTGGATATCAACCACAAGATGAACAAGGACTCTGTGAAGCAGAACCTGAGGTCCCGCTTTGTGACCTTCTGGAACTCGGTCTATCTGAAGCTGCCGCAGGTCGCTGACATCTCCCAGTCGGAGTTAATGTTCTGAACCCTTTAAAGATAGTTCATTAAAGGCTTGTAACTGAGTGACTCTGGTTCTCATTTTGTTTGCCATGACAGGATTTTCTTGCCAGTATTAAGATCAGGCAGGGAAGCACATCCATCGTGTGGGCAGTGTGTGTTCCCCTGGCTGTGATACCCCAACGTCCTGGGGAAGCTGATGGCAGCTGGGGTCCAGTCTCTCCCTGCTCAGCCAGCTATTGGCCCTGGGGTTGTTTTTCCTCATTACCCCTGTGAGCCCAGGCAGGACAGCCCCAATCCTGACCTGTCCTCTGGATTTCCCTGTGTTACCATCAAAGTTCCTGCTACTGCCAACCAGATCATAGAGAGCTACAGCTGCAACCGGTGAATGCAAACCAGTCCTGACCTGTTGTTTATCATGCACTGACATTGCTGAAAAACTGATAGGACAGAATAAATCCATGGGGGTGGTGATTCCCCACTGGTTTTGGGGCAGAGGCTGGGCTGGATTGGGCTGAGGAGCTGCAGCTCTGAGCAGGGCAGGATAAAGAGCACAACTTTCCACAAACCTTGTCCAGCACATGTCCCCATCCACACACTGGCTCTGGTCTGTCCAGGCCCTGGTACCCTGTGGGGAGAGCAAGGGGATCCAGCTGTGCTGGAGCTGCCCTACAGGCCTGGCTGGTGTGGAGAACTCAGGGTTGGCGTGGGACATTGGGGCTGTGGATGCTGGGAGGAGAGCAGGGGTGTCACAGGGGATGGCACCTTGGTGTGTGTGTGTGTGTGTGTGTGTGTGTGTGTGTGTGTGTGTGTGTTGAGGTTCTCCATGCAGAGAGGCTGGAGGATGGGGAGCCCATCCCTGGGGAGCCCCTGCACTAGAGCCATCCTCCTGCCTGCTTCCAGAGGGCTGGAGCCAAGGGCAGGGTTTCCAAGAATTGATGTCATGTATTCCTGTGCTCTCCTGGCCTCCAAAGGCTTTGCCAGAAGAACAATCTGGGAGATCTCCCACAAGAAACATCTTTCATTTTCTCACTGTTGGCCTTCACTGGTTCTTTTTAAAGGGAAAGAAGCTTCCAGATTGAGTTGATGCCTGCAGTTCCCTCTTGCTTTGCCCCTGTCCCAGTGAGTAGCTGCAGTAGCTCCAGGAGAACAAATGAAGCCTTTCCAACAAAGATTTCATACAGATCATTCCTGAGTGCTGGAGGGTTTCCTGCCAGCCAGGGTAGAGCTCCTCTGTCAGTGTGCAAGTGCATGTAGCTTTGAGTGGATTTTTAAAAATTTTCTTTCTTCAGTGGTGCCATGAGATCCTTTATGGTACCAGTGTGTGATCAAGGGAGGTTGAGCCAAAGTTAAACCAACCCATTTCTCACCTGGCTGAGTCTCTTTTTAGAAATCTGGAACACAAACTCCATTTTTGCAGGTTCCTATGAGGACTCTCACCATAAAATGCACAGGAATCCTTTCCTTCTTTGCTTCTCTTATCAACAGACATTCTACCAGCGCTGGGATTAAATGTGGAAAGGTATTGCACGATGACAGATGAGTTTTCTGTTAAGAGACAAATTTCAAAGCTATTATTTGTATCTATCCATTCCCCTCTCTCTCTGACAAACACAAAAAGCAGTGAAGATGACAAAGAGCTACTGCCATGAGCCTGTAGAGATATGAGGAGGAAGGAAACTTCAAGCTTTCTGATAGATGTGGCAATGAAATGGAGACAGAAATTCTGGACTCTGTGTGAACTTGATGAGCAATCTGGCTGCTGTTGGATAGAATCAGCTTTAAGACTTGCTGTTATTTTGAACCTTTTACATTCCCCAGTGTGTTACGAATGCAAGGCTTCTTGTAGGTTGCTGATATTATGTTCTACTGCACAGCTTAATATGATTTCAGCCCCCTGTGCTTGGATGAGGCTTCTCAAGACTCCATTGGGTTTAATTTCTCTGGAATTTTCTTGGACTGAGCAATTTCCTTTGGTTTGGCCTCCAGCCCAGACAAGCAGCAGCTGCAGGGCTCTCACAGGGCCATGCCCCTCAGCCAGGGACTGGCCTCAGGCTACGGAAGGACAAGGCT